GATGTTTGGTGGCATCATCAACTTCCGGCTAGTGGACGGCATTACCTTGAAGGTCGGCTTGGGCATGATTCTGGAGGCAGTGCGTGATCATGAAATGCATGATCCTATGTACAAGTTCGGTGTCGAGGCGATTGAGCAGTTGATCAACCGTCTTCCTGAATGGGCTGGCTTCTGCCACCTGCTCCTACAAATCCCAACCCTGCAGGGCACTACGATCTACCAGAAAGCCGAGGAAGTTCTGCGTGAGCAAGGGAGTCAAGTTAGGGATGAGCCTGGAAGAGCGGACAGTATTCCGGGTGCTGCCGTGAATGGGAACGTTGACGAGAACGCGACCGCGGATGGATCGACTCGTAAATTTGTTTCCGTTCATGTTGATCCGCTTCTCAGACCTGAGGTCTATCGTGATCCTGATGAAGATGTCCAAGACAAGATTCTCTTCGTATTGAACAATGTGTCTGAGCAAAACATTGATGAAAAGCTGCGTGATCTCACGGATGTTCTTCGTGACCAACACCATCAATGGTTCGCGTCTTACCTGGTGGAGGAACGTGCGAAATTGCAGCCGAATTTCCAGCAGCTCTACCTTGACCTGCTGGACCGTATCAATGACAAGTTGTTATGGGCGGAAGTTCTAAGGGAAACCTATGTCAGTGTATCCAAGCTTCTGAACTCCGAAGCTACAATCAACTCATCCACCGATCGCGGTCATCTCAAGAACCTCGGTGCATGGCTTGGGTCTTTGACCATAGCCAAGGACAAGCCCATCAAACATAAGAATGTCTACTTCAAGGGACTTCTCTTGGAGGGATTTGATAGCCAGCGCCTGACTATCGTGATTCCTTTCACATGCAAGGTGCTCGTCCAAGCCACCAAGTCCACGGTGTTCAACCCTCCCAATCCTTGGCTGATGGACATCCTTGCATTGCTCATGGAACTGTATCATTTCGCTGAACTCAAGTTGAACTTGAAGTTCGAAATTGAAGTCCTGTGCAAGGACCTCGACCTCGATCACAAGACCATTGAGCCCTCTGTCATCATCCGTGACCGCTCTGCTCACATCGAAGACGCGCTGTCTACGGCCAATATTCCAGATGGTCTGGAGGCGTTCGAGGACATGACTCTCACAAGCATCAATCAAGGAATCCGCCACGAGCGATTGTCACCCGCTGCCATTATGTCGACTCTCCCGAGCTTGGACAAGATCCTTGTACTCCCGTCGTCTGCCAGCAGCATGGTGGACCCGAATGTCCTTCGGCAGATAGTGCACAGCGCGGTCGAGCGTGCCATCGCGGAAATTATCACTCCCGTTGTGGAACGCTCAGTTACCATCGCATCTATCTCCACCGTCCAACTGGTGTCGAAGGACTTCGCAATGGAGCCTGATGAGGAAAGAGTGCGTCATGCGGCTGGCATAATGGTTAGGCAACTGGCTGGTAGCCTGGCTCTTGTGACCTGTAAGGAACCGCTCAAGGTGAGCATGACCAATTACATTCGCATGATCCAGCAAGAGTATTCCGATCAGCCAATGCCAGAGGGGTTGATTCTCATGTGTGTCAACGATAACCTCGATGCTGCTTGCGGTATCGTTGAGAAGGCCGCAGAGGAGAAGTCTCTTCCTGAGATCGAGAAGGTCATCGAACCCCAGTTGGAAGCTCGTCGGCGTCACAGGGCGGCCCGGCCCAATGAGCCTTTCATTGACCCATCGATGAATCGCTGGGGCCTTTTCATCCCCGAGCCTTACCGACAGGCTGCAGGAGGTTTGAACAAAGAGCAACTGGCAATTTATGAGGAATTTGCCCGTCAAGCCCGTGGCCCGGCAGCGGCCCACGTTCAGAATGTTTCCACCGATTCTGGTCGACAGCTTCCAGATGTTCTTCAGGAACCGTATTCGCCTATTCCCAATCTCTCTACTCCTGCAGAACAGCCAGCTGTACCCCATAGGACACCACAAGCCCAGCAAGATGCTCGGTTACAGCAGACTGGTCTTGTCGGCGCACAGTCTCAGCTCAATGGCTTCCTTGAAGCACAAAGCCCGCGTGAGAAGGTCGAGAGCATAGTTTCCGAGTTACAGCAGGCAGCTCGGAACGCTCCTGAAGAGCGCATTCGGGACCTTGGCAGGGAGAGTGCTGTCCTCCAAGAGTACAACCAAGCACTCCGCACTATCCTTGCCTCTCCCAACGGTGAAGAACTCGCTCGTCTAACTGGCCTCAGAATCTGTACGACTCTGTATTCGCAGACACCCGGGACCTTAGAGATCGAAGTCCTCGCACACTTGCTTGCGAAACTGTGCGATATGTCCACTCTTGTGGCCCGCTACACCTGGGCCCTACTTTCTGAGGTTGACGACGAGCACATGTTCAACGTGCCAGTTACGGTTGCACTCATCGACGTCGGACTTCTGGATATTCGTCGAGTTGACATGATCTTGACACGTCTTATCCTTCAAAAGAACACTGCTGCCCTGGATGTCCTCTCCAACCTCATGGACCGTGTTCTCTTCAGCGAGGAACCCTCTGCTCTAAGATCTGACTTCTCGGGCAGTCTTGAAGCCATGAGCCAATGGCTTGCAGAAGAGTCGGACGTTACTGTGGCCAACGACATCATTCGCAAGCTGCGTGAATCCGGCATTCCCGAAGTCGTCAACCCCCTACTCAGTGACAAGGCCAGGTCCAAGCGTGACCAGATGGAGTATATCTTCAGCGAGTGGATTGGCATCTACAAGGCTCCCGGTGCCATTGATCGCACCTACTATTCGTTCCTTAAGGATCTGCATCAGCGACAGGTCATGGACAACCAAGAAGACTCGGCACTCTTCTTCCGCCTTAGCATCGACATCTCGGTTGCAATGTTCGATCACGAGTCGCAGAACCCTAGTGGAAGTCTCGATGAAGCTTTCCTCTACATCGATGCCCTTGCCAAGCTGGTTGTCTTACTTGTCAAGTTCCAAGGCGAGTCTACAGGAGCTGCCAAGACAAGCAAGGCAGCCTTCTTCAATTCTACCCTCTCACTGCTCGTGCTTGTCCTGAACCACCACCATGTCATGAGAGGCGAGGCCTTCAATCAGCGTGTCTTCTTTAGGCTATTCTCCAGCATTCTCTGTGAATATTCCATGAACGGGCTTCAGCAAAGCGATCAGCATCAGGACATGATGTTCGCCTTTGCTAACAAGTTTTTGTCTCTTCAGCCCAAGTACTGCCCAGGATTCGTTTACGGGTGGCTGTCGTTGGTCTCTCACAGATTCTTTATGTCCGGTATGCTGAACATGCCGGAGCGGGCGGGCTGGGGACCGTACTGCGAAATCATGCAGGCGCTGCTCTCTTACATTGGCGAGCAGCTCAAGCCGGCCAGCATCTCATACGTTGCTAAGGACTTGTACAAGGGTGTTCTTCGCATCTTGCTGATCTTGCATCACGATTTCCCTGAGTTCGTGGCAGAGAATCACTTCCAGTTCTGTAACGTCATCCCTGCTCATTGCGCTCAGCTTCGGAACCTGGTCCTGAGTGCTTATCCGTCGTCCTTCCACAAACTCCCGGACCCGTTCAGGGAGGGGTTGAAGGTTGAGCGTCTGGAAGAAATGCGGGAAGCCCCCAGAATCGCCGGTGATACTGCTGGTCCGCTGGAACAGGCCATCATCAAGAGTGCTGTCGACAGTGCACTCCAGAGCACCAATGCATCTGATTCGGTCATTCAGCAGATCTCCGATGCCGTGTACAATCCTCCCACCAAGGAAACCGGCCCCTACTATACGCCGATTAACGTCAACGTGGTCCTTTTGAACGCGCTTGTACTTTACATTGGTCAGAGCGCCGTGTCTGCGAATGCGACCAAGGGCAACATTCGCGCGGCCTTTGACAATTCCCCTCACTCGGCGCTTCTCGAGAAGCTAGCAAAGGCCTTCCGGCCTGAGGCGCGGTACTATCTCCTGAGCGGCATGGCCAATCAGCTCCGCTACCCCAACAGCCATACCTACTTCTTTAGCTTCGCCATTCTCCGCCTGTTCGGCACCGACTACTCGGAGCAGGACGATTCTGACATTCGTCAGCAAATCATCCGGGTGCTTCTCGAGAGGCTTATTGTCCACCGCCCTCACCCATGGGGTCTCATCATTACCCTGCAGGAGCTGCTTCAGAACCGGAGCTACACCTTCTTCCGTCTTCCGTTTATTCAGGCTGCGCCTGAGGTAAGCTTACCATTGTTTGAACGGTTTATTAGTTCGTTTCACTGACGTGACATTCCCTACTAGATCGGCCGTCTGTTCGATGCTCTCCTGCAGCACATCCAGCAACAGAGCCCGCGGGCCATGGCTTGAGTGATCGCCAACCTATACTCTCTCCTCTATCTTCTTCCACTATATTAATACGAAGTATTTGATCATGTTTCCATGCCTTGCATTCAGCCGCGATGACCGACTCTGATGGTGTTCTATCGATGCCGCTCATGACAATGCAGCGCAAAAATACGGGTCTTTACCGGGGTGTATGATCTGAAGGGTTTCTACGTTTGCTTTGCTTTCCGTTGGCATGCTGTATTGTTCTATGTTTCTATTCTCATTGTTTCGGTTGGGTTTCTGGGCGGGGTATGCATATTAGGACGTGTTAGCATGGTCCATCGCTACATGGTGCTTATATCTTGTTCCTTTTTGCTCGTGTCTCTTACGCTTCATGTTGGTGTTTTTTCTTATCCATTCCATCTACCACATCGGTAGTCTGTAACGATAAGTTTATCCTAAAAAAGATGACTCCATGAGTATCGGTGCATACGAATTTGTAGAAAACAGATCTCAGTAGAGGGATGGTCTAGATGGTGAGAGAGCACATTGTTTGTGGAGCAATTCGGTCCCTTCTTAGATTGGTGATCGGCGTCGGGGAGATTCTCCGCGCCGTGCTGCTCGGTGACGTCGACGCGATCCTCGTACCTCTTCGGGACAAAACAATTGTTGCGGCGGTTCTCCTGTCGCCGCACCTCCCAATTCCCTAACTTTACAGATCGATTAAGGAACCATGAATCCTGACGATGGAGCAGACCCTCATAGGGGCGTCGTGTCAGAAGTGATGGTACCAATTCCTCTCTCTTCTCCCATCCATCATGGCAGACCAGGAACTAATGACTTTCGCAAACATGCAGCACACAGTGACAGAATATCTCCGACCACTTGTATCGAAGCGAGCCCAAAAGATCTATTTAGGGGCTTTTCTATTCTTCTGTACGGCTATAGCCATGATCGTCACCTCGACGGTCGCGTATGGGGTCTTCTATTACAGGTTCATCCCGCAGGCGGGCCTTGAACGGATTGTTCACTTGCAGTTTGGGTGAGTTAGGATCTATATTACGAGCAGGCATTGATGAATTGATACCTTTGCTTGGCCAATGTCTATGACTGATGATTGACTCTTTCTGTTACCGAATACTAGCGAAGGTCCTCCCTGGGGAATTGCAAGCCTGGGATCAGACCTGGTTTCATCCCTGCCCTACGATGTCCAGGTGGAACTCGAATTACCACGAACACCTTCCAATCTCGCCGCGGGAAATTTCATGCTAGATTTGGCCCTCCTATCCCGTCCGTTTACGTCTGCTCCGCAGGATACAAACACTTCGATTACGACTCTCTCCCACTCGCGCCGCCCTGCTATTCTTACCTATGCTTCGCCGTTGGTGGACACAGCTAGTAAGATCTCGTTCATGCCGTTTTACGTGCTGGGATGGCACCACGAAGCGGAGAAGCTGCAAGTGCCGATGATGGAACGAGTGCAGTTCGCTCGTGGTTCGCGCAACATACCGGGAAGCTTGCGCTTGGAGCTGCACAGCTCGGAGATCATGCAAGTATACAAAGCGAAGGTCATGTTCCGGGCGCGGTTTACGGGCTTGCGGTATGTTCTTGATACCCCTTATGTTCTCGGTTTCTTGATGATGCTGATAGAAAGGTTAGCTGGGCAATGTATAACTGGAGACTCACTTCATTCGTTGTCTTCGGGTTCCTGTTTTGGAGCATCAGCATGGCTTCTGCAGGGCTCGCATGGCTGGTTTTAGCATCGCTTCTTAGCAGTCGGGATGATACATCCGGTCCTGTTGTTGATAGCAGTCGAAATGACACATCCGGTCCTGTTGTTAAGGAGGAGGATCGCAGCGCTACACCCCTCATCAAGAAAGAAGAGGAGGAAATTGACGAGCCGCTTTCCGATGTACCGATTGCGGAATCCTCGAAAGCAGCGGGGAAAAGGAGGGCAATAGAGCCTGAGGATGCCGTGAAGGAAGAGGACGAGGAAGGTGATGTGGGAAGTGCAGATGAAATTGCCCTAAACAAAATTCTGTTTGAAGGGGACGAAGAAGATGGCCGAGGCGAAGAGCCTCTGGAGGCTTCTGGCTCAGGCACAGCCAGGGAGAGTGCTCACGCCCGAGGAGTGCAAAGACGGCGAAGCCATGTAATTCAAGAGTAACAGAGATAGGCACTGTAGCTATTCCTTTTGAGATACCCAATACGATACAGTTGTGTACTGGTTTGAATGTTGATGAGCACTGGACTGCAGATGGAGCGAGGAATATAGTTAAGGCAGCGTAGTTATCGATAACGGGTGGAGAAGGAAGAGAAAGGCGGGGGAATATCGCTGCCGCCCAACTCTGCCTTTGCCTGCCCCTCCACCCTCTCTTCCTTCTCTCCTCAGCCCCCGTCTCTCTCGCTCCAGACTCCTCACGCCCATACAATGCATATCTTAGTAAGTGGCTTATCTTATTCTCGAAGACCTCTTCTGGAGCAAGACCAGGATTATTTCCCCCCAATCCCCCTCTGAACTCATGCTGATCACCATCCTCCGCCTATAGGTTGTCAACGACGACGGCCCGCCGTCCAACCAGTCCTCGCCGTACATCCATTCCTTCGTCCAATCGTTGCAGTCTGCCGGGCACATTGTATCTGTCGTTCTCCCCCACCAGCAGCGATCATGGATCGGTAAAGCCCACTTGATCGGGGCCGCCGTGAAGCCAACCTACTTCCGTCCCGGTACTCTGCACAAAGACGATGGGACGACACACGAGTTCCCTCACGGTATGAACGAGGGCGATGATGACAGTTACGATGGAGATGAATGGATTCTTGTGGACTCCACACCGGCCAGCTGTGTTCAGATTGGCCTGTACCACTACTTCCAAGACCGTGGCCCGATTGACCTCGTGGTGTCCGGTCCGAACTACGGCCGGAATTCAACTGCTCTCTTCGCCCTGTCCAGTGGAACCATTGGCGGTGCTATGGAGGCAGCAGTCTGCGGAAAGCCCGCGATCGCACTGTCGTACGCCTTTAGCTCCAGAGACCATGATCCCGTTGTCATCGCGGAGGCATCGCGTCATGCCGTTCGGTTAATCGAGTACCTCCACAAGAACTGGGCCGACGGTGTGGATCTATATACCGTCAATGTCCCGCTGGAGCCTGGTGTGAGCCAGAACAAGGTGCTGTACACCAACATGCTTGATAACCGCTGGTCATCGGGCAGCTGTTTCCGCGCGGTCGATGCCTCGGCCTCGGCCTCGGCCAATTCGCCTGAGAAGCAGGAGCACGACGTGCGACACCAGACTGTGCCCGCGGGAGAGAAGGCGCCATCAGCCGTGGATGGAACGAGCCCATTGAAGAGATCTCGCATCCAACACAAACACTTCGAGTGGGCGCCAAACTTCTCGGATGTGTACAGAAGTGTGGAGGAGGGTGCTCCAGGGAACGACGGCTGGGCTGTCAAGGAGGGCATGACCAGGTTTGTACAGACCCTATCAATTTGCTGGCCAATCCGCTAATACGTCACAGTGTTACGCCGCTTCGAGCCAATTTCATGCATACCCCTGGAATTCAAGGAGAGATTACGCTGTGAGTGGAATGATGCTGAGTCGCGGCGTGGTTGCATATAACATAGAATTTGCGCGTCTGTCAGATATACAAGCTAGTTTATGCATCTCGCGCTCTGCTGTTCGCCCCTTTGTCTGATGTTTTTGCTACCACTTTATCTTGGTCTGTCTGTTATGGCTGGTATTCTGATAGATTCCATCTCATGTAGACCGGATAATAACACTGAGCCTACCTTCTATTCTCTCGTCGACAGCGACGACTCCTATGTCCAGAGTCTGATGGAGCGGGCGCTCCAGCGTCGTCTTGGAAATGGTCAATGTCGCGCCATTTCATCTCTCGCTGACCTTCCCTCTCGCACTACACCTATCTTCCAGTACCGTGAATACGAACGGCTAGAATTCGAGCATGTCATGATGCACACCTCCACCTCTCTCGCCAACGCATACATCATCCGCAAAGCCCTCATCCGCAAACACTACCTGTCCAACACCGTCATCAACTGGGTAACGAAACACCCGGACAGCGTCCTAGCCAAGCACTTCAAGCCCGGCTTCGACTTCGAGCTCGACTACGCCGAATTCCTCGACGACGCCCTCCTCGAGGCCTACGAGCTGCGCGACAGCCTCGCCAAGAACGAAACCCTCCCCGACGAAGAAAAAGAATGGTGGATTCTCAAACCCGGCATGAGCGACCGCGGCCAAGGCATTCGCCTCTTCAACAGCGAAGACGGGCTGCGTGAGATCTTCGAAGAATGGGAAGTGCCCGACTCCGACGATGAAAGCGGCTCCGAGCGTCCAGAGCCCGAAGACAACGAAGAAGAAGAAGACGACAACCACGGCGTGGTGACCTCCCAACTCCGCCACTTCATCGCCCAACCCTACATCGACCCCCCACTCCTCATCCCCTCCTCCCACAACCGCAAATTCCACATCCGCACCTACGTCCTCGCCGTCGGCTCCCTCAAAATCTACGTCTTCAAGGAAATGCTCGCCCTCTTCGCCGCAAAACCCTATTGTCCTCCCTTCGAAGACGAAGACGAAGTCACCGACCTCGCCCGCCATCTCACCAACACCTGTTTCCAGGAAAACGGCCGCGCTAACCCGGACAGCGTCCGTCGCTTCTGGAACCTAGAGGACTATGTCCCCGGTCTCAGCGATACATGGAAACAGAACGTCTTTGATCAGATTTGCGCCGTGAGTGGCGAGATCTTCGAGGCTGCGGCTAGGGGCATGATGGTGCATTTCCAGACTCTGCCGAATGTGTTTGAACTCTTCGGTGTGGACTTTTTGGTCGATAAGAAGGGCAATGCTTGGTTGTTGGAGTTGAATGCTTATCCGGATTTCGCCCAGACTGGTGAGGATCTGAAGGAGTTGGTTGTGGGCAGGTTGTTTGAGGAGACGGTCGATGTGGCTGTTAAGCCGTTCTTTGGGTTGCAGGAGGATGGGGATGTGAGTAAGGGGACGGAGATGTTGAAGTTGGTTAGGGATGTGGATTTGGGGAGGAAGGCTTGATCTATTTGCCTTCTCTGTCCTTTCTTGATTGATTCTGGTTATGTTGTTTTGTGGCGTTTCTTATGGTTATCTGTTTACTTATATAAAAGGGGTGCTGGATTACTGGGAATGGTTGGTAGATAGAGGTAGAGGACTAGAAAAAGTTTTGGATTTTTTTTAAATAACATCATAGTACATACGAACGGATTCTCTATCCTACCAACGAACAAACATATCCCTCTGGAATAATTCAATCAAAAGGCCACCACCGCCGATACTCCTCCCTCTCCTCCTCACTCTCCGCCAACTCCTCCACAATCCGATCCCTAACTTCCCCCAGCGCAGCCCTACACTCCTCATACCTCTCATTCTCAATAAGCCCTTTATCCGGCCACAAATCGCCCAATTGCTCCTTCACCCCATCGACAAGTTCCGTCCCCGCCACCGCCCCATCACAGGCCACTTTGATACGCTCGATCTCTGCCTCTGTGAACTCGAACGGGAGCGGGACATTACCAGTATCCGGTAAATCTCCCCAATGATCCTTCATATCAACAAGCAGCGACATGAAATGCGCCTCGCCATACTCGAACATCCGATGAGCGAGGAATATCAACCCATACGCGGGTGTCTTTTTGAACTCGATAGCTCGATATAGAGCTGGGTTCTTGGCGCGCGTGAGCTTGCGCCATCCGATGAATAAGTTCTGGGTGGTGTATTCGTGCACAGCTGCGGATCTCGCTTCCGGGGATAGCCCGGAGAGATTCGGTCTAGGTAGTAGGTCGAGAGTCTCGGGCTCGAGACCATCTGTCCAGTCGAGGAAGGCCGGGTCAGGGGTGTGGGTGAAGAGCGGGAAGAGGTGGGTTGATTGCCAGTCGATTATGGAGGTGATGGATTCGGGGTTCTGCGGGTCGATGAAGATGTTGTCGTTGTGGAGGTCGTTGTGCCAGAGGTGGGGGGTGGTGAGGGCTGTGTCGTTCGGGATGAGGGATTCGAGGATTTGGAGGTAGTGGGATAAGGCTGTGAGTTTGGTTTGGGGACATGGTTGGTAGAGCTTTGGGCCGCGGAATAGGGCTAGTTGTTTCGGTGGGTGCAGGGATTGGATAGCTTTTGTTTCTCGTGTCCCGACTGCTTGCAGAAATTGCTGTATATCGGACCCTACGAATGTGTCAGCGACTGCTCGCGGATGGGAGGGATTCTGATGTAGGATGTACATGGTCCCCTATTTATATCCAAAAGTGAGCGGCTCGCATCGCACCAATCGCGGCCTGTGGTAGGGCCGATGGCGAATTGTGAATCCTTGACGGCTTTGCCGTCCTTGATGTAGTGGGTGTCTTCTGGTGATGATGCTTTGATGTCTTTCGCGTAGGATAAGCTACCGTAATGCGAGAATGACACGCTCAGCCATTTTTTCTGTAGACGTATCATGGCAAGAAGCACTTGGAGCTTCTGAGGTAGTTTCAGTGTCTCCCAGACATGAGAAAGAGGAACGCCGGCAGCTTTCTCCATGATGATGAACTCAGCCCCGACTGGGTGCGATTCTGCATGCGAATTCCATGTGTAGACGCGAGGCACTGGTGTTTCAAGCACGTTTCTGGCCTCCCAGGATCAAGTTGTGTTAGCTGGATCTAGCACATATATTAGACTTGGTAGGATATACTTACAAAGTCCATGGTAGCAACCTCGCTAGCTGTAGTTAGATGCGGAATACCAGCATTCGGATTAGGAACCTTGGCTACGACTTCGTGGCCATTGCCCATCGACATGAGGAACGCCTTGTTGAACATGCCGTCGGGGTACTTCTGTATGGAGGTGCAGTGCGTGGCTCCTACTGACTCTGCTGCGATACGGGCAAGGCTGTTCATGTCGAATTTGATCTCGCGCATGCTGAGGTTTTTGGCTTCATCGACGAGAAAGCGGCCTCGTGTGAATTTGAAGAATTCATCGTGGGTGTTCCAGTCTGGTAGTGATTAGAGTCGGTTGGGTTGTGTTGGGGTGGCTTGTTTACCTGTCTGAGAGGAGGTTCTGCTAGTGGGAGTGGCATTGTAGGAAAGCGTTGATGCCCTTGAGATTGGGCGGTATGGTTGCTTTAGGGCTTTTGGGGTGTATTGGATATAACTGTAGCGACAAAGGGGCGCGGCTGGGCATTGGTTCATCGTTCTTAGAATGTGATACTTTGGATGATGTCCCTGCTTGGAAACAGAAGTACGTCTAGTTGAACATGTGATCATCCGAGTATCCAGAATCAAGGACTCTATAATAGAAAGACCAAGAGAAGTGGCCGCCTCTATGCAAAACAAGGATGCAGCAGCAGCAGTGTGGATGATATGTAGGCAAGAGGTTGACAGGGATACGCGGCTATATTATATTTAATTGACGTCCCGTCTACAGCCAATGTACGATCATAACACTAGTAGTATATAAACCAAGACAGAAGAACTACCCAAACCTCTGCTTAGCCAACGTCTTCAACCACCCAATCGTCTCCTCCTCCTTCTGTCTATATTGTTGCAACCTCTCCTCACGCTCCGCCGCCCGTGCCCGGAGTAATTCCTCCCTGCGAATCTCCCGCTCATTCTTCTTCCGCTGCTCCCTCTCCTTCGCCTTCTTCAACGAATCCAAATCATTCTCTCCAGACCCCATCAACTCCTCCTCCGGCGCTGCCTCCGGAGATCCCCCACGCTTCGCCTCCGCAAAGGCGCGATTACTCGCCGCGGCCTCCTGTCGCTTCTCCATGCGCCGTTCATGAGTCCCCGGTTCCGCGCGCGGCGCTACCTCCTCCTGCAAGTATTTGACCTCGGACTTGTGTGAGCGCAGTTCGCTGCGATATTGGGCGCGCGAGTCTTGACGTGCCGCAATTGCGTCTTCAGCTGCTAGTTCTGCTCGTTGTTAGCTTTCATGCCCGTATCAAGTAGACCCTTCTACCACCATCTGGTAGACAAAAGAGTCTCAGTAAATATGAAAAGAGACATACCCTTCCGCAACTCCAAATCCTGCAGCGTAGGTATCGTAGGTCCCGAAGACGGACCTCCACCACGCCCAGATGTAGAGGGAAGCACCGGACCGTATTCATCGTCGTCCTCATCTTCCTCCCCTTCAACATCCCTATGCCGAGTTTCATCCCCACGCTCATCCTGTTGCGATTCGCCTCGATAGCCAGTATTCGTACTCGTCTGCGCCTGCATTTGCGCAAGATTCGTTCTCGCCTTTTCCAACGTAGCGGGGTCATACCACCCCTCTGCTAACTCTCCGCGGTTCCTGCAATAACACCATGTCAATTGATTCCCGTCCTCATGTATATCTACCCATCCAAAGAACCAAGTTCGTAATCTGCTTACCATTTCCTCATAAAGCTCTTCCACCTCCCCTTCAACTCATCCTCCGGCAAATCATCCATGATTATCCCCTTCTGAATGTCCAGGTACATATCGAACATGGGGGCGTAGTGCTCCAGGTCATATTTGGTGAGTTCGCGTGAGTTGAAGGGAAGGACTATGGGGGCTGCTGGTGCCGGTTCTGGTAGATCTTTTGAGCGGGAGGTATGGCGATCGCGGCGGTGGCGATCGCGATCATGGTCGCGGTGGCGGTCGTGTCGGTGATGGTGATGGCGGTGGTGGTGGTGATGTCTGCTGCTGCGGTGTCTGTCGGATCTCGAGGTAGGATCGCGATTGGGAGAGCGTGAGCGTGTGCGAGAGCGGGTGTGGGAGTGGGTGCGATCTCGGTGGGAGCGTGAGTGGGAGTAGGAGTCGCGGGGGGACATAGTTCTTTCTGGGTGGGGGTTGTCCATATCTGAGAATTGTCATAAGGTGCAAAATATTGGTGAGACTTGTGAAGGTGAACGGGACTGACGTCGAAATGCCAAGCTTTTGGGTGCGGCGGATGGGCGTCAATCATGGAATGTCTATCGACTGATAAGAGCGGGTCTGCCCTGTGGCTTTATTCTGTTTCGTGGTCTAGAGGAATTGAACGAGCATGCTGTTTCTAAGATCCTTTTTGTATATAATCGGGATACCTATGGGTAGAAGTGGTGTTGCGACATGGTACTTTCACGTGCTACATACTGTACATCCTCCGCACCATCCAGCAACGCCTAGACATCTCATGCGTAAAGTTCGTTCGATAACCTCCATCTAATTACAAGATTGGAACAATGCAGTTCGCTGGAAAGTGAAATCTTCAAAGTATCTGGTATGTGTTCAGCTAGCCGGGGCGCTCGACTCAGGAGCCGCGCTAGCCGTGTTGTCCGGAGTGCTGGTGGAAGGGGTCGAGGGAGATGCGGTCTTGGAGCGGTTGGCAGCAGCCATCTGCCAGGCAGGAATGGAAGCAGAACGGCCCAGGTGCGACAGAGGGCTGTTGCTCGCCGAGGTAGTACTAGGGCTCGCGCTTGGCTGTGCTGATTGAGAGGGCTGCTCGGTTGATGCTGGCGCGGCGGGCGTACCGTTGACCGGGGCCGTAGCGGCGGGAGTTGACTCCTCCGCAGGCCGAGAAGCAGTAGGAATGCTCATACCGCTGAACCGTCCAGGAGCAGGAGAGGTGGCGCTGTTGCCGCTGCCACCAAGTCTATTGCCCAGCAAGACTTTCAGGCTCTTCAATTCAGCACCAAGCTCCTTCAACCGTGTCTCATTGCCTTCCCGGGCGCCTTCCAGCGCCTTGGGGATCGCATCCTTCAGTGACTTGACCTCGTCGCTGATACGACGGGTCTCATCGTCCCTCCGTCGGGAGGCGTTCTTCATGTCAGAAACGAGGTTCTCAACCTCCCGCAGGGCGGTGTCTAGCCGTTCTGTGCGCGTCTCCTCCGCAGACTTCAGTGCGGCAGTATCTGTGGACAATTGTTCGATCAGGGCAAATGCGCGATTGAATTGCTCATCAATGTGTTCCTTGTCTTGTTCAAGCTGGGGTGGAGTGGGGGGTGCGATTAAAGGTGAGATATAGCGCTTAACCAATGTCAGCATGTTTCAATTGATCGAGCAATGTGAGTAATGAGACACCGACCTTGGTAATCGTGTAGAGTCCGTAACCTACTCCTCCCATCACCGTAGCCATGATGAACCAGTCACGCCAGTCCCGTTTCGGGGGCCTTGCGACGCAAGATTAGTTGAATACAGTATGAAATGGGCAAAATCGAGACTCACTCTGGCGGAGCCTGCCATTGACCATAAGGAGGATATCCATAGCCTGCAGCAGGTGGAGGAGGAGGTCGGTAGACAGCTTGTTGGGGAGGCGATGGATAGCCAGATGATGCGGTTACGGCGGCAGCTGCTGTAGACGGATCTTCACCTGCTCGGGCGAGCGCAACATCGATCTCTTCTTTAGTCAGGTTCTTTGACTGGAGAAATGCGACTCGCTTCTCAATTGGCGAGGCGGCGACAGATGGGTCTTGGAGGACTGCAGAGACATTAGACGAGCACATGAATCAACATGAAAATGGGAATGTTGAGCACATACAGGTGACCTAGCGATCGAGCGTGAGGGTCAGCTCCGATTCCGGCAACAAGATATTAATCATAGATAAAGGCGGCACTTACAGCAGAGGAGATAAGCTCCTCGCGGACCATGATGGGCAACTTTCCCAGGAGCAGTAGCTCTAACTGGGTGGTAACAGGGTTATTCTTAGCGAGGAGGAGTGTTGGGGGAAGGATCCGAGAGAAAGGGACGATGAGGAGAAGGGGAGAAGAGAGACACAGGATGAGGAGGCGATGGAGCGGCCCTTCCCAAATCAGATGGACCTCGGAAGTAGCGCTGGTAATTTACGTGGTTCTGGTTTCGTACCGCGGCGGAGATTCCCGTGACTTTCCCCAGAGTCTCGTGATAGCGCCTGGCCCAATCCGGCAGTTGTTCCCTGGACTTCACCGCCTACTTTGTTGGGACGAGAGAAAGTGGCATGTCTTGTTTACTTTGATTATTATGATTATTGCTGCCCGCTCGGTTGCTACTGCCATCCACAACTCTCCCGCCTCCTATTGCGCCTCCGTCGCCAACTTGGTGTCGCGCCTCTTCTGGATATATCGATTTTGGTACAAATCGCATACCCCTTGCAAATTAGCCGTTTTTCAAGAGTTTGCGCTTGCTAGGGTTGTGATTGCCCGCCGCAGTCGCGGCTTTTTCCGTCATCATGTCGCAGGATACAGGATTGTTCAGCATCAGGCGCCCCCGCGAGGTATGTGCCTTGCTTCCTTCAGACTTGCCCCTCTTGTATAATACTAATCTAGCTGTCTCAGTCTATGGCGATGGGTAGCCAAAATTACTCTGCTCTTCCGCAACCCTCCTCGGCCTTGAAGCGCACCAGCTCAATCGGATACCAGAACCCTCCTTTCACGTCTCAGCACACGCGTATGTCGCTTCTCAACTCCGCCAGTCGTCCTCAACAGCCCAACTTCCAGCGGTCTTCTTCAGGTGGAGGTTTTGGTGCCGATGCCGGTCTCTCATCAGTCAGACGCTCCGTCTCCAGTAACATGTTCCATGGCCCTAGTGTCGGGCGCCCAAGCTTTGCTCCGGGCCCGATGTCGTCGCAAAGCACAGCAGGGTCGCAAGGATTGCAACGGAGGAGTAGTGTCTTCTCACGACCGTCCGTGGGTGGCGCCATGGGCCACCATTCTTTCTTTACTCAGGTCCCGTCAGTTGCTGGTGTCCCCAGAGACCCACGGCCACTCAGAGATAGATCTTTTCAAGCTCGCATTGGACAAGAGTTGTTGGAATACTTGACACACAACAATTTTGAGCTCGAGATGAAGCATTCACTGGGGCAGAATACCTTACGCTCTCCTACACAAAAAGATTTCAACTACATTTTCCAGTGGCTGTATCATCGCATTGATCCTGGGTACAAGTTTCAGAAGAGCATGGACGCGGAGGTTCCACCAATTCTCAAGCAACTACGTTATCCCTACGAAAAGGGTATCACCAAGTCGCAGATTGCGGCTGTGGGAGGCCAGAACTGGCCGACTTTCCTCGGTATGCTGCATTGGCTGATGCAACTGGCCCAGATGATGGATAGATATCTGCTCGGGGAATATGATGAGGCTTGCGCAGAGATGGGAGTCGATGTGTCTGGTGACCGGATCATCTTCCGTTTTCTTACAAGTGCCTACCACGACTGGCTGCAAGGCGGGGAAGATGAGGATGACGCGACGGCCGAGAAGAGACTAGTCCCTCATGTTGAGATGATGGCCCAGGAGTTTGAGAGAGGAAATGAAAAATACGTTCAGGAGATGGAATCTTTGGAAGCCGAAAACCGAGCGCTACGTGACCAGATCGAAGAGATGGAGAAGAACGCTCCGGACATGGCCAAGTTGGACAAGCATTTCAGGATCTTGGAGGACGACAAGAGGAAGTTCGAAGACTACAACCAGAATGTCCAGGGCAAAATCGAAAAATATGAGACCCGCATCAAATTCTTGGATGACGAGCTCAAGAAGACGGAAGATGACCTGCAAGCCGCCGAAGAGGAGCGGGCTGGGCTTCAGGCCAGTGTTGACCAACAAGGCCTGACAATCCAGGATATCGACCGCATGAACACGGAACGTGAGCGCCTGCAGAGGAATCTTGACGATACAGTCAACCGATTGGAAGAGACCCACGCGCGGGTCATGGCAAAAGAGGCCGAGGCTAGTAGGAAACTCGAAGATCTGGAGGAGATCGTCAAGGTCTACAACACGCTTGGATACCAGAACAGTTTAATTCCTTCGTCTGCCGTCAATGCCAAGGGCGAAGATTACGAGCTTAGTCTGAACGTGAACGAGAGCAATTTCTCCGCCTCCCAGGTCGGTGGTCTAGCGAACCGAATCTCAACCGATGGAGATCGACTATTGGCGGACCCCTTCACTGGCTATCACCCTGCACACTTGCTCAACCTCGATCTCCGCGGCATTGTGCGCAGCAATCTACAGGCCCTCCGGAAGGAGATCAACGAGCGCCGGAAGCGTGCCATTGATGATGACTTGGAACGACGCAATCTCCTGGACAACATCAAGGAGGCAATGGACGAGAAGCGAAGCGAAGTTGAGGCTCTGGAGCACAAGGCACGTGCCGCCGAAGAGGAATTCGAGCGGCTCAAGGAGGTCACCACCACGCAGAAGCTCGCGTCGGATGCACAGATTGAGAAGATGGAGAAGGAGCTGGCCAAGATGCGAGCCACGTTGGGCGAAAGCGTTCAGTTGATGGAGCAGCGCGAGATGAACACAAACATTGAGTATGAGCAATTGACCCTCCGCGCGAACGCGTTGAGAGAGGAGCTGCACACCAATGTTGAAAGCATGCTGAACGATGTCATCCGCTTCAAGGTCCATGTCCAAAAGGGCTTGGAAGACTACGAGAGCTTTGTTGTCGACGAGGTCGAGCAGGAATTGGGTGGTGACATGCAGTATGCAGAGGAGGACGTTGAGATGGGAGTTGACGAGGAGGAGGAGCTTTAAATGATATTACTGTGTCTTCTGCGCCACGATGACGCTTCGAGTATGATGATTGATGATTGCGGGAAGCTCTGGAGTCGCAGTGTCATAAACATTTGTTCGTTCTGCTGATATCGTTATCTACTACTGGGGCGCTATTGGGAGCTAGCTGGTTGGGATTATGTGTTATGGGTATTCTGGGATGCTCGGTTGTGGTTTATATGTTGTTTATGATACCTTTGATGTTCAAATGCGCCATTAGTGTTGATAATTGCTAGATGTGGGTGTACATACCATGCCTTTTACAACTGTCTCATAATGCTTCTATCTCTAGTGCAAACTAGTTCATAGGGGATGGATAATTTATCATCTATCCCAATTGACCGTAACAAAAATAGTGCCTATTGCTACGACTATGATCCAACAGTACATATCTGTAAAAATAAACACATAAATGCAGATTCAGTAAGTAGTAAGAAGTATAATACAGTAATCTATTATCGCTCATCTATGAACAACCCATGCATATATCTCCCAAAAACCAAAATAATACATACACGGTACATAAGACAGACAGATCAATCGTGGTATAAACACCCCCCTACCCAAATGCTCAATCAAACAGCCACAGCCACAGCATCAACCTTCTCCTTCTCCTTCTCCTTCCTCTCCATCTCCCTCCTCAACTTCCCTCCCTCCCTCCGTCTCCTATACACAATCCCCCCAACCTCCCGATTAATCTCACGTCTCCGCATCCCAAAGGCCTCAAACCTCTTGATACAGAAATCCAGAACCTCTTCAGCAGGATTACTCTTCACACTGCCCTGGCCTTCAAAGCCATAATACTCCGCCACAGCAGCCTGCGCGATAATCCTCACGGTCATGGGATTCGGCATCGTGGCTTTCTCCCTGGCTCGCTTGAAGTACTTGGCGTCGAAGTGCGGGTCGCCCTTCGCGGGGTTCCGCTCCTTGCCGAGATAGAATCTCTCGATGCCTCCTTCTTGGAGACGGCGCGAGGTGGGGGATTTTGTGTCGAGACACCATTTGTCGTAGAAGCGTTGGCCGGCGGCGCTGCCGCGGGTGTCGACGATGGCGGAGAGGAGGGTGTGGAAGGCTGTTGTGGGGATGTAGGGAATGGCGTTGCGGGAGGTATTGTTGGTGGTGGTGGTGGGTTTGTGGGGGAAAGAGTTGGAGAGGGAGGCGGCGAGGTCGTGGAGGGTGCCTGGGATGGAGAGGAAGATGTTGTGGAGGCCGGAGATGGCGCGTTCTTGGAAGCGGGAGGTGGCGACGTGGGTGGGTTCGTTGTAGACGCCCGTGAGGAGGCGGGAGAGGAGGTCCTTGGCGCGGGTGAGGGAGGTGGTGGTTTCTTGGAGGGTTGAGGGGTCTGGGGGTGGTTGTTGTCGGTAGATGGTGTGCTCGAGACGGATGATCTCTGCGGCGAGCGCGGTGGCGTTGCTCTGACCCCAGGATTTGGCGCGGTAGTCGCGGAGGTATTCGAAGAGTTTGGTGACTGCGTCCCATTGGTGTAGGGCGATGCGGGAGTTGAGGAGTGCGCGGAGGGTGTTGGAGGAGAGAGGTTGGGAGAGGGATTGAACGACTGCGTCGCAGAGGGCAGCGTTCCGGGTTGCTGTAGCGTAGCGGATGATGGACGGAGCTAGGGCTTGGTCGCCGTAGGAGCGGGGAGGGACTGGGGGGCCATCGATGTCGTCGGAGTAGAAGAGCCAGTTACCGAATGTGAAGGCGCGCGAGACGGTGATTAGGTCGATCAGCTCGGCCAGGGTGACGCTGGACAGTTGCGGCATGGATGATTCGAAGGGTTCGGCGGAGTCCAGATCGTCAAGGTCGAGGGTAGGGAGGACGACGCCGGGTCGATCAACGCGCGAAGAGAAGAACTCGTCGATGCGCTGCATCTTGCTGCTGTCAACGATGGCTTGCAGCCAGGAGAATGCGTTCAAAGCGTCACCACAGAACCGCTTCGACGAATAGAACCGGATGTTGTACTCAATCAGTCCGACCAAGGCAGCTGTGTCATCGTACAGCTGTGACGGGCTCATTCGGGTCAATGCATCTTCATTGACGTGGTGGAGGTCGGTATCCCAGGGCGGAACGACGCACGGCGTGATTCTGAGGAAGTCTTCGAATATCCGGGGGTCGGCTTCCGGTTTGAGGCCTCCCGATTCCACAACCCGCACGGTGAACCAGTTCGACGTTCTGCGCGTAGGCAATAATTTGCCGTCGTCCGTTGACGGGGCAATCGCGAACTTGAGACTGGAAGCATAGCGCAAGAGGGCGCTCGGTGACATACCTCTGAAACCGAGGCCTAGATATACCTGATTGGGAAGGCTATCCAGCAAGGCCGCGGCCACTTCAGTGCTCATGGTTCGCTTTCCGAGCCCGTGGAAAGGCGTCGGACTATGCCGCTTTCGCAGCATCGTAGAGCGCTCCTGGTGGCCGGGCTGTCGCCAAGTCTCTTCCTGGTCGACTTTAGTCTGCCAGACCGACCCAGAGTCATCGAGTAAGGGCTTCCAGCTCTGAAATTTCCAGGCCTGATCTCCAGTCTTGCTTGTCATTCGATCAATTAGCCATACTCCCTCCTCGATGTGACCATGTTCGACACAGCACCAGAGGATAAACTCCAGCCAGATCTCAGGCCCGAGCTCACGAACCCCCATCTTGAATGGAAGATAAGGCGAATCCTCTCCAGCAGCCGCCGCTTTAGCAGCAACCTCCGCTTCATGAACCAGCCACGCAGCGTCAGACAGAACACTCATGATATGACTGGAAAGCAGATGCATGCCCGGAGGTCGGAAGGTAGCTTGATAACTATCCGGCGGGACGTACTTATACACCCTATCGGAGATAGCATCAGAATGGTGCAGCCGAGCTAGAATCTGAAACACATGAGACATAGCCAACTTCGACTCGTTAGACGAAGCATCAGCAGCCTCCAGCACGATAGACCCCAAGCTCTGCCACACCTCAGCCATAAATCGTTTCGAATGGTCATCCGCATACGGCCGCTCCGTGAAAGCATCCAAGCTCGTCATATCCGACACCGGCAGGCCGTTCAAAGCCGCCTGCGGAATTTTCGGAGCCTGCGACTCAGACCTATCCGTAAGCTCATCCAGCGAGAGCCCCTGTCCCAGACCCCAATCATAGCTAGACAAAGGCCTAGAAGGTATTGTAACCTCCTTAAGAGAGTCCGCGGCATCAAGCAAACGATTAATCAAGAACTGCACAGCGGGCCAATTATTCAACCGGAAACCAACATACGCTAGCAAATCCATCTTCCCGGAATCCCGCGCATGCAGCAGTAAATTAGCCAATTGAATCGTCTGCGCAAAATAAGCCGCTGTATCGGTCCGAACCACATTGTCATCCGAAACATCGTCGATGTTTGTATGACCACCGTCGCTATCTCTCCGCAACGAAGGCGGCAGGTACTGATCCAGCCTTGCGATCCAAGCTTCCGGATTACTCTGATCTGGTCCTGCGATAGGACATCTCTTCATTTCCACCCTAACATAGTCTTGCAGCAATTGGCGATTGATCGGAGGACCGGCCCCGACGGAGAACTGGCGGCGACTCCATTGTCGTCGCCTATCGGGGAAAGGTCCCCGGCTTGCGGACGCGAGTGTGTGTCGGGGGACGAGACGACGGAGGATCGAAGGCTGGAGGACGGAGGAAGATCCGCGGTCCAGGCACGGCAGACGAGCTGGACTCAGGCACCTTTTCATGACACGACGGAGGTAGCGGAGGAGACCTGCGGGCGGAGGAAATCCAAATCTCGATGTGACCGTCGGACGGACGTTCTGTGGCGCATGTCTAATCGTTGAGATGGGTCGGCATTCCTCAATCTGAGCGGACAAGGCGTGGGCCTGGCGAAAACCGGCGGCTTGGGGGGAAGTTGTTGGAGGGAAGCGAAAGCTTTGGATGCTTTTCGTCGCCGCCGAAGAGAAAAGCTTCGCCGGGGAAATTCATCCTGCTGAGTCAGCGTGTTGCGGTCAGCCAATCAGGGCATTGCATATTCATATCACGGTCTAGATCGATGGATGGAATTTATAACATAGATATGATGAGATCCATTGTATTTCAGTGCACAATAAACTATCATCCTATAAAAAGCCAATCAGACCCTAAAGCTCCAGTCACCTCTATCCCATCTCGTGTATCGTTGCAGTAACAACCAGTTCCAGCCTGTATCACCCCATTCTATCCATCACACCCTATAAAACACCAGTCGCCCTGCGTGATATCGTAGACGTTGATAGAAATACATGCCCTAAACATACTTTCAATAAATAGGAAAGAAAAGAGAAAAGAGAAGAAAAAAGAGTCTTGAGAGTCAATCCCAATAGACAAGAGATATAGAGCATCGCTGGCTCGCACGAAGACAATAATCATCAGGCGCGAGATAACCACAACGAATGGCAAGGTTGCGCTCTCCAAGCAAACAACCAAAGACACTCACGCTTCACCCCATGGCTCCTCGTCGTTTGAGGAAGGGAAGAATGAGCGAATGAATTCCCCGCTGATCGGATCGTACGGGAAATACGAGTCCCCGGGACCGGAGTTCAACTCCGAATTCGTGGACAACGGGTTGGAAGCTGGCAGCGCCAAGCCCTGGAAAGGCTGGTCGATCTGAGCGAACAACATGTTGGGTTGCTGATTCATCTGAAGGGGAGCTGAGGCTGGATTGTTCATATCTGATGCCGCAGGGTTGTAGAAGGTCGGTCCCGCATGTATGGACTGTTCCGGCTGGTTCGAATAGCCAGGCTGTGTACCGTTGAGCGCCTGGCTCTGATCCTGGGCCCGAGGCTGAGCCTCAAAGCCACACGCGGGCAAGTCACTGATGTCATAGCTCATACCTGCAGCAATCTGCCGGAGACTGCCATAACATAACTCCCATGCGCGTCGAGATGCAAGACTGTTCTCAGACATTGCGAAGAGCCAGCGAATGGCTTTTTTGGCGGCATGTAGGAAATTTGCCTCCTCATCTGGCATATGAATACTGCCAAAAGACAACTCCAACAGCAGCACGGTCGTTGCCTGCATAAGATAGTGCAGAATGCACCACCACGGGCAGATATCGTAGAGACGAACAGCGTCAGGCACATCAGGGATCAAGTCGAGCATCTTTCGGGCAGAGTCTAGTGATATCACCGCCATCTCATGGCTGAATGTCTCTTTCTTGTTAGACGCCGTCTGTCGTGCGTCACGGCGACATAAACACGGTCGTCCTAGCGTAATGCGCGCGCTGTAGTAGTGGAAGGCGAGGAAGAGCTTGCCACGCAAGGTATCTGCTGGCTGGTCTTCCCGTCGAGTGAAATCATAGGACTCATGGAGATTGGCGTACCACAGGTCAGTGCGGGCTCGCAGTTCACCAATGCGGTTCTCAATGTGACCCCATGGAATGGAAACGCAATCCAGTGAGTACACACGGTTCACAATCTCCTGTGAAATAACTGCAAGGTCGACGTAGTACAGGAATCCAAGAGCGCTTGAGGGCGGAAGGCTTCTCAGCCATGCCGGATCACGCGGTTTATCCGTCGTCTGAGCGTTTCGACCCCCTTTGGGATTAGATGGCATTTGCCGCACAGAGATGCAGGCGAGGGCCGTATCAATGTATTCCTGGCGTAGTTCGGGCTCGTTCAAAAGCTTGGTCGCTGCGGCTTCCACCAATTGATCTTCTTCAAAGGGGAGAGGGAACGGTGTGGTACAGATACCGTCGGTAATGGTGGTAGCTCGACCAGTCATGATGCCCAGCATGTGCTCAAATGTGTATAGACACCACCACACCCTATAGCGTGCCTCCTTGGATATGTTGGCCGTTCCCTCGCTGGAGTTCTTCATGTTCAATCCGAGAGTGACTGCGGAACGAACAGCCAAAGCGGCAATTCTCCAAGCCCTATCAATTGTCAGGTTAGAACAGACACATTTGGCAAGACAATTCTCTGGAGCTGCTTACCTGTTGATCTGGTCCGATGCAAGTAGATAGTAGGCGATCAGACCTTCGACCTGCACCTGCTGGAGATCAGGGTGACTAAAAAGCACGTCGCCGTTCATGCTCAAGATCCGAGCTCGCGTCAGATACACCAGATGGTCATTCTCATCACCCCGCCACGGGGCCCGCGTAAGATGGGCATGCTTGGCGGAAATGGCGAATATCATGTTCAGGATAGCCAACCACTTGTCTCCTGGCCGTGCAGCGCTCTCAAAGAACGTTTTGTATTGCGCCCGAAAGAGGGTCCGGCTGATGATAGGATAGAATGGGTGGACCGTATCGAGGTAGTCTTCGAAGAACTTATCTGCCACCTTGCGCGGCGGCATCCAGTACACATGCACAGGACCTGGCACCGAGATATCCATGTCGTCTAGATGGTAGTTGACGGAGTGAATGGCAAATTCGCCCTCATGTTCTGCCTCGTAGGGGCCCGGCAGTTTGCGAGCACGATGCTCGGCCTCCATGCGCACCCGCTGCATCCAAGTAACTTCGGAGTTCTTCCCCATATAACCAGTGGCTCTGGAACTCGGAGTGCGGTTCACATCTTCCTCAACCCGATCGATCGCATCCAAAGATCCGATGGACGAAGGAGAGGTCACCTCGTCATCGTTGTCTTCGTCCTGGGGTGTCACCGAGCTGGACTGAGTGCCTTCGCCGCTACCGCTGCCGCTATAGGAGTGCTGGTCGGGGTTAGTGACTTCGTGGGACTAGCATAGACATTCGTTTCGTCGAGCGTCAAGATCGGGATATCTCTAACCTTCTCCAACACCGTCCTAATACGCTCCGCAGCCCGACCATCGACAATAGTGCCAAGATCTCGCAGTAAGTTCTCATAGTCCGTAACCCTCACAGCAAGTTTATCCAATTCCCTAAGAACGTCAATATCAATTTCCCACCCTCAGTATCAAAAAACAACAAAAACCAGCAACCAACATACCCTTTCGTCCGCTCCCGCCAAGAGATCGGATACCGACAACTTATCCTCAACTCCTTGCACTGTCGACACACGGGCGTATCACCACTACATTTCGTCTTCCGTTGCCTACACGACTCACACGCCAGCGGGACACGTCTGGTATATCGCGGGGCTGCAGCCGAGCGCTGTCGAGGGATGGCGACTTTGCTGCTCCCCGTGGACAGAAGCTGTTTCTTTTCGGCATGCGCGGGACGGGTGGCCAATCTGGGTTTCTGGGGGTTATGCGACGAGGTGCCCGGAAGAGCCGGCGGATGCGCGGTAGGCACGACAATAGATGGACCATCGGTATGAGGACGAAGGGGGATATCGCCCTGCGATAGGCCCTCGTCAAGCTGGGAAAACCCAGGCGTCTCCATGTCTTTTTCTCCAACGATAGATGGTTCCTGGAGGGGTAACGCCACAGCACACCAGTCGAATCGCCGAGAGAATTAACAGCCGGTCACGTGGTATTTCTTGGGTCCGGAAAAGATTCTTTGGATGAGAATTGGCTGGATATGTTTTGCGATTTGGAAGGCGATGAACCACACCGGTCAATACTTCAGGCGGACGTATGAGAAAGATCCAGCCAAGGTTTGAAGCATGATGTCGCGCGGGGACGGAGTGCGAACCGGGCTTCTAAACCGGGATCAAAGGACCAGAAGACCAGGCGCAAAGTCAAGGTCGCAAATGAATCGATGAAGGTCGGAAGGTGTTCGATGTTCCCTGAAGAGAATAAGAATGCAGGGAAGCACGAAGTTGGGGGGTAATTCTGGAACCAAAAGTGCAGGGGATTCGGGATGAAGAGGGGCGTGCGGCGGGATAAGAACTACTATGGCTTCCGACTTCTACTATGAAGTACTAGATACGACCGACCACTCGAGACCATTGCAACAAAGTACTTTGTCCCCCTTCCACTGCCCGCCAACCAACCAGAACCTTCCAAATTCATCCACCGCCTACATGACTAAGAGTAGTAGCATGACGTCATGGAAGTCCAGTGCCTTCTAGTGCCTGAGGTATCCACTCATCCTAGCATTTCTCTCTCTTACTTGACACAGGAAACTTCTGCCATGGTGCTACATCTCTTCTCATAGGTCGGGCTTTTTCACTCCCTGCAACAACCGCTACTTTGGCATGTCTCGTTCCTGCAGTCACGCCAAATGGCCCCCCCACATTCCAGGAAGGATCCGGTCATCCACATTCCCCAGGGCGCGGGAGGCCGTGCGTCTATCAGGCACAGCAGACGTTCAGGTAGATAACTACTCACTATGATGAAAGGGCATACGAGGATGAAGGAGCTACTTCAACTACAAAGCAGAGAGTGAACAGGACACATGGTTCTCGTCAGATCTAACCCTTGCGGGGAATTTTTGGATTCAAAGGCCACAGGCGCTAAGCATACATAGTCAGACATCAAGCATATCCCAGTGTTTTCTTTCTCCCTGGTCCTCTCCTTCCTTCGGCCGTATTCATCATCACCTGCTTCGGGCTTCATCTCTCCTTGCCCATCATTTGAGAAGAACTTGCAAATTCAGACCCCCAGAAAACGATCAATCAGATACATCACGGCCAGCCAGGGGATATAATAAAAAATCAAGACGGTCAGAGAGTGAGAAAGGGTAAAGAGTATATATGTACAGGCGCAGCAGGCGCGAGAGCCTCGCCAAAAATGGCGGGGTCAAAACAAGATGCAGCAAGGTTGCGAAACGGGCATTAAACAAATAGAAACTGTACAAGATTAGGTCAAACGGAGTATCAAGGTGGTGTAGGTGAGCAGC